ACCCGGTAGTTAGACCTTCCGTGAATGCTTGAGCGCCTTTTCATGAAAATAATGATTGCAGGGCCCTCAGGGAGAACATGATTAATAATGATGAAGCTACCCTGTGTTTAAAAAAAAGGAAATATTATCGTTATTATTATCATAACGTACACAATTATTTAATAGTTTCATTTCAGGTGCAATTGACTTTTCTTTCTGCGAAATAGATAATGGGTCTTTTATTTAAGACTAACGAGAGGGTTTGGCAGGGAGGAAATAGGGGCATGGTTACAGCGATGTAAGTTGATTTAATAGTTAGTTGGAACGAAATTCAACGCGTTATTAGATTTTGTATGGAATAAGTTCACGAGGTCATAATTAGAATGAAGCTGTACGGTTTAAGAACATCCGCGAACGTGAGTAGAAAATAGAATAGAAAACCGATGAAGTAAAGAAGGTCTCTGAGATTTTTTTTTCTTTCTTCAGTGAGATACACTTAAGCTATGGGATATCATTGTTATTATTATTTTATCTCTGTCCTTATTCGGAAACTCTACGAGTGTCACTACCCTCTGTACAATGTAACATCATGACATAAATACCAGATAATCTTCGTAATAGTGCCGCACAAATCACTTGTCAAAAAGGACAGAACACAGGCTTCAAATCGATCCACTTTTATCCTAAAAACGCATTTAGTTAATGTTGAGAAGTTAAAACTGGATAATTTGTTTTTATAACTTGGTATCTTGCTGGATTTGTATTTATATACTTTAAGTAGGAGCAACCTTATCCGACAAAAAATGATAGATATATAGATCGATAGATAAATATATGAATAAATAAATACATGAATACATACATAGATAAACAAACAAATAAACCAATCAATTAACCAATCAACCAATGGATGAATAAATGCATACAACAGTAAAAGGGAAATAAATTTGTATTGATGATTAATAAATGTAAAATAGTAATGATAGGAACAGAAAGAGGCATAACAAAGAAATGCCTATGAACGAAAATCTCTTTAATTACGCTGAAAATATTTTGTTTTTGAATAGCTCCAAGCTCAACCCTACCTTTAAGGCTGGATAAAGTTAAGGGAATGCTTTTTTCTTTCTCTCCCCTCTTGAAGGGTACGCCGTTAAATGACTTTGAAAAGAAGTGAGACCTCTGGGTGAAAATAGCGTTTTTAACTGTTCACAATTGGTGTCATTACGTGGAGAGGGGCTTAGCCGGATAATGGTCGAAAATACCCCCTTGTTGTCTTCAGTTTATCGCCGACAGAAAAAAAGGGAGAAACTCCTTTGAAGAAAGATTCCTGTGAAGGGGGATAAGAAGTAGCAAGAGTGGTCCAAATCGGTGCGGCAATTTAAACATAACGCTTGTAAAAGGGGATTTATTTCACAGCTTATGGGATGGGTTTTTTTGTTTTTTTTTACTGAGTGCGATTTTTGTCTGGAAATTGTCTTCAAGGGGTTAGAGTGGAGCCGGCTATTATTGTGGTCTTGTCAAAACGTAACCGGTGTATCAATCTCTGTTGTGACTGAACTAATACCCCAGTCCTCCCTCTCTCCCATTCTCTCTCTCTCTCTCTCTCTCTCTCTCTCTCTCTCTCACTCCCTTCCTCTCTCTGAGACCCTCTCTCTCTCTCTCTCTCTCTCTCTCTTTTCTCTCTCTCTCTCTCTCTCTCTCTCTCTCTCTCTCTTTTGCATACCCCTCTATACCCCTGTCTTTTTGCTTCTTTCTATACCTTCCTTTCTTTCCTTCCCTCTCACAAGGATGGACTAGATTTCTATGAAATAAATTTGAAAAATATCTGTTTATTGATTTGCTGATTTATTCATTTGTTTCTATGATGAATGTTTAAATATCCATTGATAAATTTATATAACTTCTAACGCTCAGAATTTTTTTGTTGTATGTGTTTGTGCTCTCTAACTCTCTCAGTTTTGTTCTCCTCTAATGTTGGTTTTAGTGATGATATGTTTTGCCTGGTGTTACGAGCGATCAGAATAGAGGTTCTATATTAAAGTGTTAATTCAATTATGGTCAACGTACAACTTTCTCGCCGGACCTTCTCACGTAATGCTTATGAAGTTATGATGAAGAATGAAAAAGCGGAAGAAAGTGATAACCAACTTTTTTGTAGACACCATCACACCCTGGTCTCTATTAGCATGGAACCGTTACCAATTAAGATCTGGAACCTTTAAACGGGAAAAATGATCACCATGTGAAGATGATTATTCTGATTTTGGAAAGATGACCAAGTTTATGAGTATCAAACTGACCGGTGCCTAATGGTGTAAGTGAATTTGCTTGAGGACTGTGCCAACAACATTGCGCCACGAGATACTATAGGGAAATTGACGGAAGCACTGCGATGTCTTGGCAATTTACAAAACATCTCGCCGAGGGCGCGAAGGACAACTCTAATGGTTCACCGATGGACCATAAATTCGATCCAGAGAATAAGATCTGTGATATATTATTAATTTGATATACGACATTTATCAGAGTGTTTATTGCACAGGAGCCATCATTTTGCTTGCACTTTTGTGTACTTTCATTAAATGTATACTAGACCAGTTTTGGAAACGCCCCCTTCTCAAAATAAATGAAATGGAAGCTTTTATTACCGATCATGTGAAAGAATATGTTTTGACTAATACGTGATGGTACAAATTTTGCCGGGAAACCACCTATACTATTTGGTAAATTATTGTATCTATCCGGACTGGATAGACATAGGGTGGTCCCATACATCTTTCAGTGTACAGTGCTTGTAACTTTACCAAGACTGGGCCAAATTTCTTATCATTTTGATGATTCCAGATCATTGCAGTACACACCAATACTTATATGCTAGATGATCAAACCTTGAATGGACGTCACACGTATCAGTCCACGCAAATCTAAAAGTCCCTAATGACGTCTCGTGTGCAGCAGCCTTTCAAAATGTATTTATGTTTCGCCATGCATCATGCAAGCCATGAGAAAGTTTGGGCGGACTAAATGAAAAGGTCGCTACATCGTTAAGTTGTGCGGGGATGGGTTTTCAAAATAGAGCTTTAAATTCATACGAGATTGGGCAAGGGATGAACATCCGCATGATGAGCCAAATCAGTTTTGAATTTCAATTTCTTCGCTAGCTTGACTCACAACGCAGAAACGTCGCCTTGAGTTAGGGCTTCGAAACTCTCCAAATCCCCACTCTCTGTCAGTTCAGCTTCCATCTCACTCCTTCCGAACTCTCCATGCTCGCCCAGTCGACCGATGTATCAGTCGAGGAGATAAGCCCGAACGCAGTCACAGCCCCTACACTTTTCGGCAGCCTAGCCTACCCCTCTTTTCCCCTTCAAAGCCCAAGACAAGGAAGGGCCCGAGGCGATGTACTTCATCGCTGGTAACTCATTGGCGGTTGATGACAGCCAAGAGTTCCATAGTATGAGTTCAGTCATTGAGGGGGGCGGTAGGATGGGTGGGGGAGGGGGCATCGGTCCTATTCGGAAAATAAAATGCGAATTTACAACGCTACTTATTAGGGGAGGGTGGGGATCGCTCAGACGTCTTTTCCCCTCTCGTCTCCCCCTCCCCCACCCCCTTTCCCTTTTTCTTTCCAGCTTCTCTCGTCTCCCCTTCTTTTTACCACTCGATGGGGGACAGGTACCCCATGTTTCCCTGTATCTACACCACTGGCATTCAAGAGAAGCACTTGAACTGGTTAATGATCAGCCGTCCACAGAGAGCTACAGACAAGGCTTGGTCATGAGCCACCAGGGCAAAATAGAAGATTGATATCCCTTTTTTTGTTCAGCGATAAACAATATTTTTTATATTAGCATGGTTGTGTTACAAGAAAATGATACTGAGAACAATGAACTGCAAACTATACTTCCTGTCTGTTTCTGAGATGGTGCTTCCGGAGGGAAACGTTACCTGAAATGTTATTGAATGAAACAGATCGGAGGAAAATCAACACATTGTCTGTATAAATCAATGTTCAGATCAGATTTGGAAACGGAATAGTTATGTGGAAATGCAAACCGTCGAATTAGATATTTCACGAGAAAGAAAAACAGAAATATTATAAATAAAAATAAAACGAAAAATAGGTAGACACAATTTGTTCAAATGATTAGTATTTCTACCGTTAAGCAATTACATAAGAGAATTTGGGATTGAGGAGAGAAATCTGAATCTCAGTCTTACACAATCAAAAAAAACGGCAATTTGCTAAATCATGTCAATATTGATCAACAAATTGTGTCTTAGAATGTTGCCCTTTTCTCGTGTAATTGACTACAATGACGTAAATGGCATTAAATATCAAGGGTTATCATGATTGTCGTGGTTATGTGTCATTTAGATGCCTCAAAACTGGTTGGATATATCATGCTCTGGTGACAATAATTGCTCCGCGGACGATATCCTTCACTAACCAATTCTTAACTTCAATCCTTTAAGTTGACCAAACACTATAACTAATTATAACTATCCCTATTCTAACCCTAAACCTTTAAAGGCAGGCTTTACTACTTCAGCCAGAAGCGATTAGACCACCCAGCGAGCCAGCGAGGTCACTGTGACAGGTGGCTATCTCATTAACTCAGCTCTCATTTAACATAAGAAAAAGAGGATCACGGGGGACCAACAGGCACCGATTGGAGAAGTTTTCTATATAGAGGGAGCAAGTAGCTACATATAGGACAGTGTGCCTTAAAAAATTATAATAATTGAAACCCTATATCTTAAAAGAAATCAAGCCCGGAGCAATTATCGCCGGAGCTTCATGTCCGAACACATTTAGACTGTGTGTTAAAAGAATATATTCCAAGAAAAAACGAGCAAACCTATTTTCTCATGACCCGCGTTGCCATCCTACAAGAAAAGATTAATCTAGCAGACGATGAAACATCATCCCTAAACAACTTTTCACAACGTGTATCAATGATCTAATTGGACATGCCAACTGCGCGTGCGCACTGCGCCTCGCTCGCTACACTTGGAGAGTTCTTGGCCAATTTCTTTGCAGACGACATTTACAAAGTTCTTGATCGTGGTTTGCGCCTAAGCGGAAGGAAGGAAGGCAGTCATTCCTCTCATCAGGTGCCTCCACATGTATGGATGTTTGATGTTAATCGAAGAAAGCTTCTTCTTCTTCGTGCCTTTTCTTTCTTGGTCATCATCGAACCGACGGAGCTCATTTTGGTGGGGTTGAGGGGGAGCATCAATTAGTGACTACAGGCCCCAAAGTGGCGACACTCAAACCTCAGACGAGACGAGCTTTAGCATTTCGCAATTTTGAACTTTCTATGAAGTGTCATCATTTAAAAATGCAAATTACTTAGGAGGATCTTAACATTTTGTGATGAAATACCGATTGCAGAACCAGTTTTTGGTGAAATTCATCGGTTGATCTGGCTCTCGTCCACAAGATTATATCTGCCTGGATCATTTGACCGAATGTCATCAGAAACAGTGGACCTACTTTCGTGGAAGGTACAAGCGTTAGATACCGAACGCTGGACCTCAAGTTATCACTTTTCATAAGTAGACATACTTGTATGATTTTTTGTTAGTACGCCTATTATATTTTTGCTTCTGAGTTTGTGGGAACTTTGCATTTCTTGAAGATCTTGTGTGTTTCCAGAGACCAATTGAGGCTAGGGTCAGACAACAACGCGTTTTCATTTTTTGATCCTGGTTTAACTATGTTGTAGTTATAATCGCAAAAAGGAAATATTTCGAAATCAGAATACGTGTAGATACTTTTTCCTGAGCATCTCTAAAGACAGCTTCCTTCGATATCATTATACGCTCATTAGTCTTAATTCTCTAGATCTTATTTTTATAGAAAATAAGAGACTTGGACGCGATTCCTTATCCATCAAGAAAGATTGTACCACGGTGTGAGAGAGAACAGGCTCCCCGGCCCAGCAGACGACATTTAGCAATCACAACCACTTTTCGTTAAAACACTATCGCGATTCGATCGCGAACAAAAGTCACCCAACGAGACGTTTACATGCTACACAATCAGTCGACACGTAATCCATCGCCCCCTTTCAAGTCTTAAGAAATTCGAACTCACGGCTGCCCACGTCTTTGATGGAAAGGAGACTGGGGATATCATAAAATGCGGTAAAAGGCGATAAAAACAACAAGAATGGGAGGTATGTTTAATGTGTCTTCTCAATGACATTAAGTGCAACAATAGATGGTCTGTTCGTAGCTAAGAGGAGCCCAATTACTCGCAAAAAAACAACCGATCCGTTATAGCTCCATGGTTTAACTCCGCTGCATCTATTGACGGGGTACAAAAACAATCCGCTTCCGCTTTACCTTTACCTTTACCCGAGATTCTGGAAGTTGTCGACATTTATCTTGGAACATATAGGCTGAAAATATTTTCTGTTGTTAAGATAGTGGAGCGTAAATGAGCGTAATTACTCCTTTAATTCTGAATAAATGAATATTGGAGGACACTTTCTCCCACTTCATTTCCAGTACATGTAACTTTGAATTCTAACATGAGCGTTTAGTCATTTTGATTTAACCTTGCTTGTAACGAACTGAACTATTTTAGAAGTTGCAAGGCATCACACCGACTATGTTATCTCGTCGACTAAACAGCCTATGAGAAATTCAAATCCTGTGAAGTCGTAAGCCATGTTTTCGTGGTGGTGTACAAGTGTGTTGATGAAAACAAAGCGGACAAATGACATCCACCATTGTATGGCTTACAGTATACATCCAGGAAGCAAGGAAAACTGACAAGTGCTTTTTTGTTGTTCTTGTTTACAACCGTCTTGGGTCAAAGAAACAAAGGAGCCGTAAAAGGGAAAACATCAACAAACTAGACCTGTTATAGTATTAGTTCTCTTGAATAGCCTTCGAGAAGTACAGTCCTGACTTGGAAAGAGAATTTTGTGTAGCATCGGGAACATGGAACCGGAAGGACTTTTATTCGCTATCACTTTCTTCTGCGGACTTCTAGCAACGATGGAAGGAAAGCATAGAGGTAAAGGTAGGAATTGGATGAAAATATTTAAATTACTCTACGTTCTACAAACGTACATTTTGTAAACCATACTCATATGCCAATACTATAAATATAACCTTGCTGTTTTTTGTATTCGCCTCTAAGATAGCTTTACGAACGTATAATACAGAAGCCTATTATATACTGATAAATTATTCAAGATAAGCAAATAATACTAAAAGCCGTTCTCCTTGTAAGACATTTCTGGGTGTTAAACTTCCATGGTTTATGTTTTCAGGAGTCCTTCCGGTCCAACCACCTTGCTGAATAGGGGGGGGGGGGGGGCAAATACATTATCATGACATTCGTATATTTGCCCGCTATAATGGGCAGAAAAGAGAGAACTTTCCCGATACATTACATTCTTTGACTATAAAAATGCTCTTTCCCTTCTGATAAGTTTTGATGGAGACCCGGAGCAAATGAGAAGGGGAAGAAATTGGTCCCAGATACTTAGCGCGGAGTAAACGGGTGCGGACAGGTACCCTACGCCCATAGTTATCCGGTGTCCTTGGATGACCCGTGTCCAAATACGCTTAGCACCCCCATTCACATCTGATTACTACCCCGGTGTGCATCCGGATGTGATATTAGAGTAGACGGGATTACATCTTGTTTGCGCTTATCGCTGACTACATGTATACAGCTCGTACTCGAAAACATTATGCATAATAAACTTTATAATTTTGGCTGTTTCCCCCCATTGTATATTAGTTTATGTTTTAATGCTGTAATGGTTGATATATTTTTGGTCGTGTCTTTGTACGTTTTTTTTTTTTTGTTCTTACAATTACACAGCATTGGGAAACGATTGATAACGCAGTTAAGGAGAGGCAAAGAGAAATATATGAATTATGAATTTGAGGTTTACTTTAGAACAGAGGTGTTCTTTAACAAAATCTTTATTCAAATTAATATAAAAAGAGTTTTCTAAATTATCAAACATTATCAAGATTATGGAGAAGAAAAAACATTTTAGCAAAGAAAAAAACAATATCTTAGAATATACGGTGAAGCTGTGGTAAACTTTAAGGTATCAATGTGTTGGTTCATATACACACACACATCAACTCTTAAAGGTAATACAAAGTTTTGGAAAATTTTGAAAATTGGGTGGATAGTGAATCTTTACAATTTTGATATATTTGGATGCCCCTGTGAATGTATTATAAGCACTAACAAAATTAACCCCTAAAACACTTCTGTTTTCGAGAAAAATTGAATATAAAAATTTACCGGTGCTCCCTGTAAATTTTGGTAAATTTCAAATAGCGCCTACGGCCGTACAATGGTAGCTGCGACCATGAACATCTCAGAATATGTAGTTGTGATATAAAATTTCCAAACGGGAATAGCTAATCGGTCGATTTTTGTCAAGAAACATTGTTTCATAGCTAAATTAATATATTGACCTTGAGAGGGAGCTATACAACATGAAGAGTTAATTATTTATAATTTCATAACTTTAGACTCGATTTCAACCGGGACAACGATCAATGAATATTGTAGGAACGCATATGCTTCCAATATGTTAATTTGAACCATATTCATGACCCCATATCGAAACTTTGTAATACCTTTAACACGTAGACACTCGCTCCTGCATGTACTGTGGAAATGTAATGTGGAAACGGGGGGCATTGCTGTCCTCATAATTATACGGAAGGGGTGCAACATGCGGTAGACATTAGTCGATTATCTGCACTAATCAGGCACTAATTACCAACATTATAAGGGGGAATGTTTCAATGCCAAAATGGTTTCCGATTCACCTGGGTCGATCCTCTATCGGTATTTGCATTCATGTTTCCCTGGTAGTGATGGTGAAATGATTAGCTATGCAATTATGCATAAAATAACAGCTCCTAAGCAATTTTCCCCCTTATTATTCTCCCTTTTCTGCGATGTTAATATTTGCCTCATTTCGCACGAGAAATAGTTAAATGCGACAATAAAGACGTGGTAGGGTGGACCATTTTAAATACGGAGAGGTTATTGGACTAAAATCTATGACAAATTAACCTTTTTACCTGTGTATTGCAATAAGCAAGATTAACATTTCGTTGGACTTTCATACAAACTACGAACGGGGGGGGGGGGACAAAATCAAAATTTTCCGATCAAATCTGCTAAGAGAAAATATAATTTGGGCGTGGTACCTCCCGCCCCATTCTCACATGTGACACTTATACTTTCGAACATAAAAAGATGGCATTCATCATCCCCATGTCTATTACACATGTGTTGATCAGGATCATATGTTTACCCAAGTAGAAATCCAAGTTAATATTTGTTCTATGAAACAAAAACCCTCTTGACTACCTCAGTACCTATTCGTTGTATATTTTGCGTTTCGTGAAATGATCGAAGCTGCCCAACCTCTCTCTTTTGGCATCTGATGTAAATTTCGCCACAGGAATTGGGCAATAACCTGAACAGATTTGTACGAGAAATGACAAAATAAAGACGACAAAATAGTAATTCTTATTCATACCATATTCCCGCGTGGACCCCCACAAATGAAAAATTATTTCAAAAATGGGTTGTGATGTTGCCATTTCATTTCGTTAGTCATCGCAGGAATAATTGTCTGCCACGCCCCAATAGCCGCGGGCTATTCCCGGTTGGGAAATAAATGAGCTAACATTTGTTCTCGGTCAGTTAGACTGCAATATTTTGGCCTGAATATGATTCATAATATGACCTGTCTTAGCTCTAGCTGCCTTTTTTAATACGTGTACCAATCATGCCCGTGTGTATACGGTTTTTCTTAATAAATAATGTGCAAAGCTTAATGTATAATTTTTAATCACCAATTTTATCACCGTTTATCAAACAACGATTCAACAGAAAAATATATTTGATACAAAAAAAGATACAAAGAAAATGGATTACTTCAAATAAATAATCAATATTCAACGGTAACTTCGCGTTATAATAATTGTTAAATGCTAAATTTGATTTGAGATAGTAGCCTACATGTATATTTTATTTCATTAGTTTAGCAGCATATTCACGGTATGTGTTTTTATGACCCAAACATAGAAGAAATTTAGTGAAATCATATTAAAACAAATAGTCATATCTTGCACAATGAGAGTTCAATTGCAAATTATGATGACAGAGTCAGTGGGTACTTGCGTGTACGTTTTCTAAGACATTACCATAGCCCTTTTCACGTTACGTTTAACAACGGTAGACAGTTCTATGGAAATAAATCCGCTCGCTTTTGAAAAAGTGAGAGTCTCGAACACACAGTTTCGTCCCCAATGCAACAACAGTGGTTTTGCTCGTTTGTTCTTTTTCTTCTTGTTCTTCCTCTTCTTCCTCTTTTGTTTTGTTGTGCTGTTTTTGTTTTATTATCCTGTTATACTTGTTGGAGTTGTTGCTTTTGTTGTTGTTGTTGTTGTTGGTGTTGTTGTTGCTGATGATGTTGATTTCCGATGTCACTGGCTAACCTGCCCAAATAAAAAGAAGAAAAGCGGGTGGAAGTGATACAGAGAGAGCAAAACAGTGGACGAAAGAAAAGAGAAAGAACAGAGAGAAAGGAGAACGAGGGAAATGGGAGGGAGAAGAAAAATTAAGAAAGAACACGTGGATGTCAAAAACAAACAACTAACAATGCCCCTTTTTTCGGAACCTATCGCTTCGTATTAAAGTTGATATACATGATAAATGTAAGCCATACAGAGATGACTCAGATAAGTTTTTTTTCCTTTCAAGCCAGTCGTCTGAAGAGTATTTCCTCTAGGGAGGAAGCAAGTAACATGATATTGCTATTCTCATTTTGGCTTTCCTGAGAGATCAGTTCATAACCCATCTCCCGACGTCATGCACTCCTTAAACAATAAAGGTAATATATATATGATTATATACATAATATAGGCGAACCCCCATAGGATGAAGAAATACAAAAACAAACGGCACAAACAACCATCCCCCTTAAAAAAAGTAAAAAGGGAGAAGAAATAAGAAACGGCCGCCCACTGCCTTTTGAAACAATTTATAGTTACATGTATTTGCCTTATATGTTAGGCTACTCAGGTTGTTGGAACTCCTCAGTTTTCAATATAATTTCCCTTCCCCCCCCCCCCCCTCCCCCCCCCCCCCCTATATGGTCTTAGATCTGTATTTCTGATAGCTTGTAGTAACGACAAGGGTATAGTAATAGTAATTGTGATAATAGATGCTAAATATACAGACGTGACGTAATGTTCAAATACACCGCCTATAAGATTGTTTTGATGTCACCCTAATTCAAGGAGAAAGTCATCGACTTTGTGATGGATATCACTGGCTTTTTGGTATATTGAAGACGTAAGAAGAAAAGAGAAGAAGCCGAAAAAGACGGAAAGTGATAAGAAATGAATAACAAGAACAAGAACAAGAACAAGAGCAAGAGCAAGAGCAAGAAGAAGAGCAAAAAGAAGATGAAGAAGAAGAGAAGGACTAGAAAAATGAATTAGAAATTAATTTTATATATATCCCATCTTAGGACTGCACGAATGTTTTATCTGTTTCCAAGGCATTAATACTTATAGATAGTGAATGAATTGTATCTGGCATTTTGATACGCGACCGAATCTATCTGAAAGAAACCCAAACTACACTCCTTTCCAGTAAACAAAAACAAATTAAGCTGATTTTATTTACAATAATAATAATAATAATAATAATTATGGTGGCTCCTTATATAGCGCACATGTCCGTCACGCTCCTGGCGCAGCCCCGATTATTACCCTGGCTTTAGCAAGGCAGCCACTGCGGCGCACTAGCATTTCAAGGAATTAATTCCTGCCAGGTACCCATTTACATCATCTGGGTTGAGTGTGGCAAATGTAGATCAATGTCTTGCCAAAGGACATTTGTGCCGCGGTGGGACTCGAACCGCGGACTTAAGATCGACAGTCCGTCGACGTATCCACTCGACCACGACGCCTCTACCTAATTGAAAATATTGTTACGGCTATTGACTTACCAGTGAT